AAAATGGTAAACCAAAAACACACTTAAGATAGTCACTTATATCATTATTGGAACTTTTATACGCCTTTGATAGCCCAAGTTGTTGAATTTTTCGCCACCAACTTTGTGCTAAGTGAAATCTACAACCCCTAATAATAGCATTTGGCCAAACACACTTGACAGACGTATGAATTGCCACCTCAAAATCGATAAAAATTTCGGTAGATTCAAAATTCAGTTGAAGAGACGTGCAATAACTCACGATATACTGGAAAGCTCTAGTGTAAGTTTCTAATGTTTTGTTGGGTAATATCAAGAACACCAATGATACATACAATCCATTTCGAAATCCGTAAATAGTAAAAAGTTGTAAGAAGTATTTTGTACAGCTTTTAAACATCCCATCCATGTATATTTTAGTAACATCACACAAAGCTTTCAAATTTGTCTCGGTTGAAAAACCTATAATATTATATACCAAATTATTACAGAATAAAAATTGTTCGTCTTTGTTGGTAGCTATGTTCATTGTGCTTAAACAATTATGTACTTCTTGCATGCTTTTTGGTAGTTTTGAATATAGTGCTTTACGAGCATGATGGTTGTTATTTCTTATAATTTCAAATCGTTAGTGTTTATCAAAGGAATATCGCTGTTTTTCAACTCAGATCTAATGAGCTTTGAAGATCGTGTAGAAATTTCATTTTGTGCTTTTCTTTTAACCGAGTTACTTAACTTTTGTCTATTCAAAACCTTGTCATCACATTTTTGGTGATTATGAACGTTACATTTCTCTATTATGTCTAAAGTGGACGATAATTTTAAAAAACACTTAAATATATTAAGATAACACTTCCAACGTTGTACATAATTCCGCAACATTTTGTGGAAGCGAAATTTAAATCCGTCCTCAATGATAATTTTTTTACCTTTTTCGCTTGACATGAAATCCATAATTTAATTTTTATATAATATAAACACTAAAAAACACTATACTTATTTTATTTTATATTTTATTAGATGGCCACTTCTATATTACTATATTAGACTATAGACTATCCGGCGACAACTGTCCGGTTACGTTGTATTATACGTCTTATTAAGACAAGATATGATATTACCGCGGACCCAAGATTAGGTTATATATATACAGTAGAAGCCGCTTATTAAAAACACGGATTATTGATACAATCGCGTTATTGAAACAAAATGTCTCGGGACGGATCGGCCGTATATTAAAACATTGAAAATAAATCGAATTATTAAAACATAACATCGGTTATTTGAAACAATTGGGAGGTCAGTTGACATATACACCGATTATCCGGCGATAACCAATGTACTTCAATCTTATCTTTGCTGTCGTTACGTATATTTTTACTGTAATTTATCGAGAGAATGCTCTTTCTGTACGTACTGGTCGTACCGTTTGTAGTTTAGCTTCAGCGTGCGTATGTAAAGATTATTAGTGTTTCCTTTTTCTAAAAATCTAAAAATGTCTAAACGCTAAGGTTTTAGCCAATTTTCATGC